AAGTACTAAGAATAGGTTAAAAAAAGACAATAGACTTGTTCGGAGACGAAAATTTATGATATTCTGTAATATAGATAAATGTTCGATCTGCCTCTATACTTAGACTAGTATAACGTGTCATCAAAGCGCAAAGCTTCTCCTGTTCATACGACAACGATAGACTCGTATACCTATATGCCTTGGTGTTTGTTCGTGTTATAATCTTTTCCTTCACTCGTCGCGTTGTTCTCTCTCTGTCTCTCTTTCTATTTTCTTACGAGGTTTCCTAGAATACACATACATACATATACACGTACACGCAACATCATTAAAAGAATAAGATTGATGCATAAAGAACGCAAAAAAAGTAACTTGCCGCAATGAATGATAAACCAACTATACATATTTTTGAAGACTTCTCTCTGTGTCTGTCTGTCTGTCTGTCTCTGTTTCTCTCTCTCTCTCTCCCTCTCTTCCTTTTGTTCGGTCATAACTATGTAATCTCTTATCTTTCTTTTTCTTTCTGAGAGAACTAATGCAACAAAAAAAAAAAAAAAAAAAAAGAAAAAACGAGAAGAATCAATGAAAAATGCAACAAGAGAGAAAAAAAAGATACATATATAACAATACTTAACTGATTGACTGAATATTCGAAAAATAAATATAAATAAAATGATAAAGACAAATGATTTTCCTCTTTCTTAAACAACAATCGAAATAATATAGCTAGATTGATATTTTTCTTCTTGTTTTCCACAGAGAAAAAAAAAGTCATCCATCGATTGGTTTACTTTCAAAGAGGATATAAACAAATTTTTTATTGGTTTTCATTTTAACCATTCCTATATAAGTATATATTGTATTTTACCAAGTGTCTGTCATTTATAGAAACAAATCATTTGAATTATTATATCGCTATCTCATATTAAAAAAAAACATGTCGTTTTGTACAAAACAAGGTATGATTAATAAACAAACAAATATAAATATATTATTTTTTTTAAATGTTTTATTTAGATAGTGGAAAAGATAAAGTTATGTTTTTAACAAAAGATGATTTAAGTTCTCCATCTACAATTAAACATAAAGAAGATGAACCATTTGATTCATGGGAACAACATGGTATGTTGAATTTCAATTGAAAATTTTTTTTTTGTTTTTTTTAATTATAAAATTCTTTTTATATTTACTAGTAGTAAAGAGTTTCTTCATCGAGTTTGTATATGGAAACTATTAGATCGAATAACATATTCTATGTTAGATTCTTGACAGTATATTAATTTTTGAAGTTCGACTTATCAAGTGTCAAAATATTGAATTTATTTTTCTAATCAAATTCTATGAATAGACTTAAACGAATTTTTAAAATTCATTGTTAAATTAAATTTTTATTTATGATAGAATTAGTTTTTTCATAAGTGATGCTTCATATAAGAATAATTATTGAATAGGAAAAATAAAATTCTACAAAAGTTTCTACCTTACTACATAATATTTAAACTAAAATTTTTGTAAAAACATTCGATTCTTTTTTATTAATCCATATCAATTGGATACAAATATTTTTTATTTTATTTTAAGGTTTAATTCTACCAAATGGTTCTATTAATTGGGATTGTCCATGTCTTGGTGGTATGGCTTCAGGTCCATGTGGTGTAGCTTTTCGTCGAGCATTTACATGTTTTCATAATAGTGATTCAAAGACTAAAGGTTCTGAATGTTTTTCAGAATTTTCCAAACTAACTGAATGTTTTTCTAAATATCCAAATTTATATGGAAGTAAAGAAAAATCATCATCGTCCAATACTCAGCAAACAGAATCAGCTACAACAGCTATAGCTGATGCATTCAATAGTCAAACATAGTTTTGTTATATGTTATTTTTTTTGCCTGTTTTGTTTTTCCCATGTCTGATTTTTCTAGTATATGAAACAATCCCAATGTCTGGTGTTTTTTTTTTCTTCGTATTTTAGATATAATAATGGCAAATGAAAATTCATATAGAATATTATCTAGTGGACGTAAACTTGAAATTGGTTCATCTGTTAATCGTATATTAAAAAGTGGTCGTTGTCTTAGTGATAATGAATCAACACATAAAAAACAACGTACACTTTATTCACAAATTGGAACAATTTTACATAATAATAATGAATATGAGAATGATTATAAACAACAACAAGAATCATCAATAAAATCAAATCAAAATCATAATAATGAACGTAAACAACGTGAAAATGAACCAACAAAAAAACTTCTTTTACAAGCTGTTTCTGATGCAAATAAAAGTGTTTTAATGAAATTAAATAAAACAAATGGTATTGTTAAAGTTATGAAACCTGATGGTACAACTGAATGTTTAACAACAAGAACATTAGCAAAACGTTTAAAAGCTAAAGAACCAACATGGATTGATCCAACAAGTTTAATTCATAAAAGTGAACCAACATTAGGTAAAATGAAAATTTGTATTCGAAATGAATATTGTTCAACAACAGATGATGATAATAAATCAAATCATGAACAACATATATCACCTATGGAATTTGAAGATGATGATGATGAAGAAGATGAAGTAATTTTTTTTTTTTTTGAATTCTGAAAATCAAAAAAAAAATCTTTATTTTTTTTTTTTAGTTTGTTGTTGTTGTAAATAATGATTATGAAACTGGTGATGATATAAATAATATTTGGATGATAAATGATTATCCATATAATGATAATGGAAATAATATAAATTCAAATGAATATGAAGATGGACGAGGAAATGGAACATTTAAACGTAAATTAAGTGATGATATGATGTCAGATGATAATGATCAACCACAATATTCTCCACCAACAAATCCATTATCAACATCAGGAAAAAAATTAAAACGTTGTCGTTTTTGGCCTGATTGTCATAATGGTGATCAATGTGAATTTATTCATCCAAATCAACGTTGCACGTAAATTAAAAATTTTTTTTTTTTTTAAATTTTTTTTTTTTTTTTTTTTAGACATTTTCCGAATTGTGTTTATGGTACAGAATGTTTATATATTCATCCACCATGTCGTTTTGGTAGTATTTGTTCAAAATCTAATTGTCCTTATTTACATTCATCATCAACTCCTGCATCATCACCTTCATCAACAAATAATAACAATGTAACTACTGGACGATCATCAATAACAAATCGACAAGAAAGTTCAATTGTAAGTTTTTTAAATCAATATTCTATAAAATATCTGTTTAATTAAATATGAACGTAGCCATGAATAAGTTTTATATGCGCGTAAAAATTGCAAAGTACATGAACACTCATGATTATCATAGTTTTAATTATAAACGATAATGAAACATTTTGTATAAGAAAAAAATCAAAGTAATTATCAGTGTTTGTATTAATGAAAAAAGCGCTATATTCCAATTGAAAATAAAAAGTTCAGTCTAGAATAGATATCTGTATAATATTTGTTTTTTTTTTTTGGCAATTTTTATAAGTACTCAAAATCTATTCAGAAAAAAATTGTTATTGATTTAAATTTGAATTATGATTCCAAATGTAGTGATTAACTTAAGAATGTTCAATTTACTAACTCCTGACTCAGTGTAATTAACATACACATCGCTACAAAAAAAAGGAGCATATTTTGATAGAGTTACTGCTTTAATGTTAGAGCGAATGTGAATGTCTGTGTTGATGACTTACTATCAATATTTATAAGAACGTTGTATATGGCTAGATTAAATCGTTCAGAAAGATTTCGAAATTATAATGTTAGCAATTAAATTCTGTCTGATATTTTTCTCAATTTTTTTAATCTAATATATCAGTTGATTTTCGAGCGATGTTCTTTACTTGAAGGCAAACATTGAAAATTATTAATTAATAACCGAATGATTACCTTGTATCATATCTGCGTCCTTTTAATTATAAAATCAATTGAATTATAATAAGTTTTTAGTTTGTAAATATGCTTCTTCTTTGTACGATTAATACATGTTGAAAAGTCGATTGAAATATTTAACATTAACTTCATATTAATAAAAATCTATATTAACTATATATTTAATTTTAGATATGTAAATTTGGTATTCAATGTATGCGTCCAAATTGTATGTATTCACATCCTCGTATGTCATTGCCATCTGCTCGTAATTATAAATGGGTCAATAGTAAATGGTAAGAAGACACTTTGATGTTTTACTTGATTTATTTATTGATAATTCTAGGCGTGCATCTGATGATATGCCAATATTACCACCGACATCAAAAAATATTGTTTATGAAAATCCATTTATTATCGATAAAACAACAATAACTAAGGATACAAATAGTAATAAAAATGAGATCGAAAAATGAGTCTTTCCTTGTTCTATAACATGTTCTTAAATTTGGTTCTTTGTTTGTTTGTTGGTTTTGTTTTGTTTTGTTTTTTTTTTTTATTCTTAACTTCTGTGAAAGTTTAATTGTTTTGGTTTGTCTATGTATGTGATGTTCGTTGTTCTCGATATAAACAAAAAAAAAGAGTGAGAGAGAGAGAGATTTGGACATTTCATATGTCTAATAATTAGATTGTTTCTTTTTTAATTTCTAGTATTATTATTTATTGATAATATAGAATCTTCAGTTATCTTGATAATTATTTAATGGAAAATGTCGATATTGGATTATATGATATCTACATTTAATTGAAAAATTCATATGACATATATAAATATTTGGTACGTTGTATGAAACAATTAACAATTTTTGAGTTTGATGAAATATATATTCCTTATCGTCTAAATCTTGATCTAATAAGGAATTAATTTAGATAGAAACTGATAAGATTAATAACTTAATTCAATCGACACAATATGTTTCATTTATCAAGTAAATAATTGAAGATCATTTAGATTTTTACACAAAATTTTCTTATACAAAAGAAAAAAGAAACTAATAAACTTATTCTTTTTTTTTTTCTATTAGAATATTGTAGATTTGAGTTTAAAAACAAAAAAAATATATATATATATTTTTTTAATCATCAACAATATGTCATCGAATATGATTCGATCATCACCAATAGACAATAATAATTCAACAAATAATGATAATCATGTAAGAATCATATTGAATTGAAATTTCAAAAAATAAAACAAATCTTTTTCTTATTTCTAAATCTAGAATATAAGCGATGTTCTCTTATATGCTGAATCAAAAATAACACGAAAACAAGCTGTACGTGAAATAGCTGATGTTGTCTTACGTGCTAATATGAAACCACGAACAGTTAAACATGCATTACAATTACTTAAAGTTCTCTTACCACCTGAAAATACATTACCATCGACGGTTAATGAACTTTTCGGTGCTATGTTATCATGTAATTATTTATTAAAACAACAAAAAAGAAAAAAGAACCAAGAATAATTTTTTCTTCTTCCTCGTTTTTTTTTAGCGGAAAATGATTGGCGTTTAGCTCAATATTTAATAAGACATAACCAACGACCATCCTTTTTATCATCACCTAATGTATGGAATGAAAATTCAAATTCAAATACATCACTTACTGCTGCTAGTTCATCATCAATGTTACGAAATCAAGAATTAAATACACCAACACAATCATCTTCTTTATTTATACCTATTAGTAGCAATGGTGGTGATGATAGTGAATCATCAACAAGCTCTGATGACGATGATGACGATGAAAGAAATATTATTCTTGCTATACAAAGATCTCAACAACAACAACAACAACGTCTCATAAATTCATCACCATTGCAACCAATAATTGAAAATGCGGAAGGTTTGTTATTCATTATTTCATGTTACTCATGAATGTAATCATGTTCATATATATTTTAGATGTAGGAAATAATCTGAATAATATTATATCAATTAATAATAATAATAATAATGAATCATCAGATTCAAGATCTCATATAGTATCTAGTTCATTTAATCCTTTCCCTTTACTTGGTTCATTCAAACGTCAACGAAGTGAAGTTTGTATTTAAAAAAAAAAAACTTTAAGAAAATAACATTCGTTGGTTGTTATATATCTATAGACTTCATCAGATGATTCAAGTAGTGAACCTGATTTATTTTATTCAACGAGATTATCAGACAATGATGATGATGATGATGATGATGATGATGACGATGATGATGATAGTGACAACGAAACATCATTTTATCCAGTTTCTAATAATAACAATAATAAATCATGCTGTTTTGTAAATAGTTTTTTTGTTTTTTATTAAATGAATAAAAACAATATAGTTTTGATTTTTCTTTTTTTTAATAGGAAATGAATGGATGTGATCTACTTGATGGTGGTAAACGACGTCGACATTAGGAAATAAAAATAAGGAAAATCTACGACGTCAGATTGAACATTAGTGTTATTATATGAAAGAAAAATCAAGATTGTGTTGATTATACAGAAAAAAAAAAATTCTATTATTTTTCTTTTGATTTATTCAGTTATCTTATTATTTTTTGTCAAAGTGTGTGTGTGTGTGTGTGCGTTTTTTGTTTTATAACAGATTGGGTATTGAATACAGAAAGATGAAGAAAGCACAATAAAAGAAAAAGAAATATTTAAATAGGAATAAAGGAGGCTGTTACTATGACAACTATTGGTAGGAATGAAAGCATTCGATAAGCAAATATAAATTATTTGTTGTGAAAATAAAAACAGAAATTTGAAGATAGAAGACAATTATGGCGACAGTACACAAGGTAATAAAAGATGAATAATAAAATAAGAAATATATTTCATTCGAATACAAAATGTTCCTCTAGGGTAGTTCTAACCACGTCTATGGCAATAAGGAACATCGAAGTACTTCGCCTGCTCCACATTTTAATTATGAAACATATTATAAACATCAAGAAAAACAACCGATACATACAAATCCTCTTCTTCAATATTTATCTGATACAGAATTAAAATTTCGCAATGACAATCTCTATGAAACAGAAACCTATCGATTGCCTCGTCGAACCGAGTAAGTATTCATAAGTATAAGTTCATTTGTATGAAAATTCTTAAAATTTAACTATGCATTTATAACAAAAAATAAAAAAACATTTCATTTCGCCTTCATGATCATGATACTATTTTTATTCCTTTATCCATACTCAGTTGCACTTATAATTGCGATTCATTTTTCTATTTATAATTTTCCAGTTGACACTTCAATTAATTTCAAAGCAATATCCGTCATAACAAACTAAACTAAAAAGACGTTTCCTTACAATCAAGCCTTTTTATTAATATAATTGGAAAAAGACTTGTCATGTTTCAGTCAAATTATAAGTCTGATCATCTTATAAAGGAATTCAAAATATGAATTGCTCATGATGAACACCTGACCAGACATATTCAATTTTGAAAACGGAACATGATAATTCATAAGCCTGTCGAATGCAATTTTTTTTATACAATAATTAGATTTTTCAGAATCTCACAGGAATTTAACGATCAAAAATTCATTTTTTGAAACAATCTGATGATTATCTAAAAATGCATGTAAACATTGCTTGAATTGGTAAGCCGTAGAACGTTTTGAATCCCGAGTATACTCAATAGTCTTTGTAAGATGTCCTCCAGGAAGTTAAAAGTAGGGTAGAGACGAATCTCTTTATGTCATTCAGATGAAAAAAAAAATGTTAATTTTTCTTATTTCCAACTCACTTTTTATATTGTAAAAAAGCTGATAAGGTTTAAAAAAAAAAATTAATAAATTGTGCGAAGAAAAAAAAGTGTATTTAAAAGATATGCTAACGTTTGTCTTCACTTAATTTTGCTTCTCGAATGAAGAGTTTTCTGTCTGCTTGACTGAAAAAAAAGAATTAATAATAAAGCAGCAATAGCATTCATAGAAGAAAAAAAAGGAAATTTCATTGTGAGTTTGTTCATTTTATTGAAAATATTTCTTAGCTATGAATGTCCTGAAAAGAGTTCAGGCTAATAGCTTATTACTGTCGATATACAATATTTTGTAGTAGAATGTCGTGGTTCCCCTTAGAAAAGTCAAGAAAACTTTGTTTCAAATTTCGACTTGGAACTTTGCATTGAGACACCTCTTAATGAGAATAATTTATTGTGAAATATTTAGGTTTTTTTCATTGTGCCTAACATAAAAATTTACCCTTGTATACGAGCGGCATGAAAAACATGCTTCGGACATAGTCAAATCTTAAGATAGAAGCAAAACTCTGTTTTCTCGGTATTCCTAAAAGACGCTACAATATTCTGCTAAAAAAAATACAGTATCTCGGCAGAAATAAACTATTATTCCAAACTCTTTCATAGCTTGTTAGAATCTCTTTGATGCACGAAGTCCTGACTCAAACGTAGTTTGACACTTTAAAATGTTTCCTAAAGAATTCTGCTTCAAATCATCGAAAATGTAGAGCTCAACATTTAGTCAATATGAAATCGAAGGGAAATTTTGAGGTTTGTCTACAAATTTCAATGCACTTCATAAATCTATAAATCTAATAGACTGAGAAAAGGATGTTTGAGTTTATGACATCTGAATCTATGGTAACTTTTAGCCTATCCCAGTTTCGTAGTTTCGCCACGTATACTTGCATTATCATAGAATAGATAATATTATTCTACATATATATTTATTTATTTCTTTAGTATATTAAATCGATACATTAAAATGAATCCAAATTTTGAACATTTAAATCGTGTTTATGAACCAAATTTAACAAATATTGAAAAACAACGTTATAGACGTTGTGTTGAACAACAAGAACAAAAATTACATCGTATTAAAAAGAAATTTGATTTTCAAACATCTGATGGTCATAATAGTCATTATTTTTTAACGGGTGCTCGTTATAATCGTTTTGATACAGTTGATTCAAAAATTTTACTTAAATATGGAACATTTGTTAATCGAAATAATCCTGAACAAGTTGATATAAAAGCAACACATTTTAAAAAATTTCGTGAAATTCTTCAAGCACAAAATCGTTCAAGTTCAACTGGTGGTGGTGGTGGTGAAACATCACGAAAAGATTTAAATTATGATTTAATTGGTGAAAGAAAACATGAAGAAGATTTAGAAGATTTAACAAATCGATATGAAAGAAGTTCAAGTCGACAATCAAATTTGAAACCAATCAATTTGGGTAAACGTACTAAATTACCAAAAATTAAAGGTAAAATAATTAATTATTCGTATAAAATAAAATTTCAATGAGCTTTTTTTTTTTTTCTTTAAGATCCTGAACGATATGTTGATGCTGGAAGTCAAATGCCTGAACGAAAACGAGGTTCGAAGAGAAACAAAAAACTTCTGATATTAAAAATTTATTTATTTTTTTAATACAGGTCGACGTTCTCTTGAGCGAGCTATATCATCTTCATCAACACATCGTAGTAGTCGTCATCGTCGTCAATCCCAACATCAACAACAACAATCACCAGCACAACAAAGTAGTGTTTCTTATGTTGCTAATAAAGTTTCATTTTCTTTGGTCAATGAATCGAATCCACCAACACTGACAACAACAAATAAACAACATGAAGATGAATATGAATTAATAACTACTACGGATAATGATCAACATTATCAACAACAACAACAACAGCAACATACTATTCCTCATGAATCTGTTGATGACAATGATGAAGAACAAGAGCAAGAAGAGCAAGAAGAACCAGAAGAAGAAGAAGAAAATATTGAGAAAAATGATCAAGAAGATAATCCTATAGTTCTCGAACATCTTCGTCAACAAGCTACCGTTATTGTTTCGAATATACTTGCTGCTGCTATTGATCAAATCAGCTTGACATCAACAGAATAATATTATATTTAGTTTTTTCGTCACAAAAGAACTTCATTGATTTTTCTTATATTATTAAAATATTTTGAATCTTTTTTTTTTATATATATATATTTCCAACTAACTTCGTTTCTTCTCTTTTTTTTTTCTTGTCTCTAATGCAACAGATCATCACTATTAATGATTCCAGCGAAGTGTTGACATGAAATGTCTAGATAACATGTGATTGATTAGTACCAAGTGAACGCATCTTTCTTGGCCAGTATAAAAACAAAACAAAAAAAAGAGAATAGCTTTTAAGTAGTAAACTAGACTAAAAACAACAAAAGAGAAAAAAAAAGAAAAATATGAAACTGTCGTCAAACAAACACAACATGACTAATCTTTCTTTATAGTCTTCGTTTGTTCACTGTAAGGAGTTAGCCGGAGGAGTAAATTCGTTTGGACACAATTCAAATGAAAATAAACGAAAGATACATGAAGCCTATTATTATCGTCGGTCAGTCTATCTTCGGGTATGTTATTTCTTATCGTGAGATTGGGCCAATTACTTCACTCTCGAACATCATAGACGACCGATGGACGTTTGTTTTGCTTTCATTTCACCACAAATGGCTTCTGTATTGATAATGGTGAGTGGACTCACTATCCTCCTACATACTTATTTGGCTTTAAGCCAGCTATGTATGTTACTCAGACACATGATACATACCGTGTCCGAGCCAACCATTCTTTTTTATTTTTTGCTTTCTTTTCAGTTGCCCGCTTCTTCTTTAAGGTCAGTATGTCTGGCCGAGAATAGAAAGAAGAGAAAAAGAAAAAAAACTTTATCGATGTGTTGATTGAACGGGACAATGTTATGAACGAATCATAGAGACGCGCGAGTGAACGCACATCAGTATTTGAATAAGTATATAGCCTTCGAGTCCTAAGTAAAAATAGTACATAGAAGAAGAAAGAGAAACAGGTCAATGTTCGGTCACAAAAAACGGGAGAAAAGAGAAATGTACATATCTGAACATGTCGTTCATATTAGACAGCATCTAACAACGGTCGGACGCGTGCACAAGTCTACGTTTTTTTTCTTCTTCTTCTTCTTCTCTTTTTTTTCGACAACTACGACTCTTGCATGCGTATACGCTTGTGCATAGAGAGAACACATACAAAAGAATGTACAAAGGGTCAAGCATCGGTCCAGTCCGTCCGTTGGTTCATTCGCATCGTTGTTCTTAACGGTTATTGTCGTCCACTGCCGTCGAAATTCGTCCTTCTTTGTCTACAATTTTTTTTCTTCATCATGACGTCAGTAAAAAAAAAGTTTCGGGAAATCCATATATATAAAATTTCTTTTGTTCGATTGCATGGTGAGCTTTCTGTCTCTTTGTTTTTTTCGTCAATGTAATATGCATGTTGTATTTTGCATGTTTTCTTATATCGTTGATAACTTTCTCTCTGTTTTTCTTTTTTTGTTTTATCTCTCTATTGAGAATCAGCTCTTTGATTCGCATGATTGTGTTATTTAGTCTATGTGGATTTTGCAAGTTC